GCCTGCACGTGGTATTTTGTGGAAGAGCCACACTCAAGGGGCCAAAGAGCCGCATGTGGCTCGCGAGCCGCGGTTTGCCGACCACTGGGCTAGGGCAATGCATTTAGTTTTCTTTTTTTAAAAATATTATTTTGTTGATTTTTTTACAGAGAGGAAGGGAGAGGGACAGAGTTAGAAACATCGATGAGAGAGAAGCATCGATGAGCTGCCTCTGGACACCTCCTACTAGGGATGTGCCTGCAACCAAGGTACATGCCCTTGACCAGAATCGAACCTGGGACTCATTAGTCCCCAGGCTGACGCTCTATCCAGTGAGCCAAACCGGCTAGGGCAATGCATTTAGTTTTTGATGTATTCACTGATGAAAGTAAATTGCAGACATTGGTACATTTTCCCTTAAATACTTCAGCATTCATATCATTAACAAGAGTTCAATATTTTTTACATTTTTTCTTTTGAGGTAAAATTTACATATAATAAATGCACAGCTCTTTAGTGTACTTTTGCTGAGTTTTGACAAATAAATGCACCTATATAATCAAGATATAAAACATTACTACCATTCTAGTAAGTTTCCTCATGCCCCTTTCCCTGTAAATTCCTATCCCAAATTCCAGAGGCCAGGGTTTCTTCCCCCCCCACCCCCATCATAGTTTCAAGACATTGATTTACACCAGTTAGTGTCATTAATGAGCCCTCAAATAATCTTTCTCTAGTGATCTGTTCTTCTCATGATTCAAATAGAAAAGAACTCTGCTTCCAAGATTTAAAATCAACCCAAACTTGAAAGAAAGAACTTGGCACAGTGTCAACTTCCTAATGACTTTTCCCAGTTAGGGCATTGTGTTATGTTATTTAACTCACATTCCTTAGGGTGCACCAGGGCCAAGGGTCACAGGGTCACACTAAGATAAACAAAATAATATTTCTCTGGTTATGCTCTCCCCCCCATTTCCACCCTTCTTATTCCCCTCAAACCCCCAGGCCCCACTCTGAGATCATTCTGGCCTCTTAAATTCTTACCAGTGCTTTCAGGAAGTCTCCACACATCTCACATAAGCTTGCTAACGTGGCCAAAAGTATCCCTTAGTGTTGACATTAGCTTGTTACACTTACTTGGTACCTTACTGGTACTCCTAAAGTGGCTGCTAACCTAAAGATGAGTTACTTCCCAGGAGCATCCTTGGTTTGTTACAGAAATAGACCTGTAGTGGCCAAATCTCACTTGTCCTCTAGATACATTCAGACATTTTCTGTGAGTTCATCTTGGTATCTGTTGCTACTATTCCAAATGACATCCTTGAAAACTAAACTGTTGATAAGGGCCACATCTTTTTTCTAGGTCTTATTCCTCCAATACAAATACTTTCTATTTTATGTTGGATGTTAGCTTTCATAATTCTTTTTCATGTATTAAACTGCAGACTTGAATCCATTAAACGATGGTACATCCAAACTGAATTTGGACTCTTCTAAACCATCTTATCATCAATGATTTTGAAATAATGCAGGTTTGGCACAGCTTTACCTTTCTTGGTTTTATTTAGGCACAGTATTTATTAAATATTTGAAAATCCTATTTTATCCTTATTGTAAAAATGAATTCATAATAGAAAAATGAAGGGGATGGTAAGACATAAAGGCCTAAGTATCTTAACAATGAACTTGGGACAAAGATTAAAATTATTAAGTGAGCTGAAAGCAGTGATTTACCAAGGTCAATCAAAGGTTCATCAGACTTAAGTGGCTTGTCTGTATGTTGCGGTGTATTTTTAAAAAATGAAAGGACATACGTGGAATGCTTTAGAAATATACTATCAAAGATTGGGTTTAAGAGGTAAAGTATAATGAGAGATTGTATAACAGTTTGTAGCTCTTTGAGAAAAAAAAACCCCAATGTTAGAATAGTTTATTATAATTTTTCTATTACTATTTATTGCAATTAATGACACATATACTATGTAATTATTTATTCAGTGTAGATTTATCCTACTGATAAATATATCCCTGAGGTTTTTTGTTTTTTTTTTTTAAATATATTTTATTGATTTTTTTACAGAGAATTGCAATTAATGACACATATACTATGTAATTATTTATTCAGTGTAGATTTATCCTACTGATAAATATATCCCTGAGGTTTTTTTTTCTTTTTTTAACCACTTTTCCATGAGAATCTAGCAAAATTACTAGCATTTAGATTGGCTCAATAAATATGTTGAATGAATTAATGAATTTGTATGAATAGTCCTATAGAAAAGCTACTGTGGTATTAGGTTGAAAGATATGCACATTTTAAGTATTGATAGACACAGCCAAATTGCTCCAAAAAGCATAAATCCCATTCTTGAGGCATTGCAGCAATCTAAAACGGATGTATGTTTGTTGTTTTCTTGAAAAGAAATTAACACCAACCCTGTTTTATTGTGTTTAAAATGTTTGGGTAGAGAAGTATATTGTATTGAGAAATTATGTTTTACATTTTTTGAAATTGTTGCTTCTCATAGGTTGCTAGTGTGGTTACTTTGAAGTAACATAAAAAACAGAAACTTGTGTGTGTGTAGATGTTAGCCAGTAGAGCAGTGGTTCTCAACCTTCCTAATGCTGCGACCCTTTAATACAGTTCCTCATGTTGTGGTGATCCCCAATTTCATTGTTACAAATTGAACATAATCAAAGCATAGTGATTAATCACAAAAACAATATGTAATTATATATGTGTTTTCTGATGGTCTTAGGTGACCCCTGTGAAAGGGTCGTTTGACCCCCAAAGAGGTCGAGACCCACAGGTTGAGAACCGCTGCAGTAGAGTGTAGGAAATGTATTTTTGGTAGGGGGAAGAACATGATAGAAAAGCAGAAATCTAACTATTCAACAATAGATGTGAGATTAAATAAATTATACTTTGGATAATATAGAGTTATTACAAAGAATTAGGAAGTTCTGTATGTAATGACATAGAAAGATATTTCTATTATATTATTGAGGGAGAAAACAAAGGTGATATAATCCTGTTTTCTTAAAACAAATAATCTGTGTGTGTGTGTGTGTGTGTGTGTGTGTGTGTGTGCGCGCGTGCGCTCACACACTTGTATCTTTGCCCACAGAGATAACATTTCTGGGAGGGTATAAACCAAAATATTAACTGCTATTTTAACATTTGGGAAATGAATGGTTGGAGTTGTGATACAGAGATTTTTAACTTAATATACTTCTGTTTTTAATTGAGTGTGTGTGTGTGTGTGTGTGTGTGTTTAAAACAACCAACTTGTATACATTTTGTAATGAACTATTTTTTAAAGAAAAAAAAGAATGTGGTATGTGGAAGCCAGGTGGGCTGCTCTTAAAGTGCATTTGTTAATAAATGTGCAGGAAGCATCAGGACATTTCTTACACCAGTTCTTTACTGGATTTATATAAAATGATAAAAGCAGAGTCAGTTGGTAGAAGCTGGGAGTGAGGGGCCTCTCGCCATGTTCTTCTCCTCTTATAATCTTTTGACAGCCCCCAGGGCTCTGCTGAACACAATTTGAAATACACTGGTCTCTTCCCGGGATGCTTTTGATTTAGTCCTTCCTGAAGGTCAGAGGGATATACAAGCTCTCTGATTCTAAAGCACAGAGAATAAAGAATGCCTACAGGTAACCGTGGAATTCTCTCATGCCTTACAGACAACATATTTAGGACAGGAAACATTTGTGTCATGTAAGATATTTCCAGATGTACCAGAGTAGAGAAACACTTTTTATTTTGCATTTCTTAAAATCCAAGCTTTATGATTTATGCCCTTTTCATATCCTCATAGTGACCAGGACAGTTTTGTTAAACTAACAAATATAGGTTCTATAAATGTCTTGTTGCTCTGCCAATCTTAAATGTAATGAGACAAACAACTTTAAAAATAGAACATTATTTTGTATTTTATCTAAGAATATGCCTTTTCCAGGTCCTAACAACCGAACAAAAAAATACGTATTTAAAAAGCATAAATAGTATTTAATAGTGAAATTTAAACTAATTTTAAAAATAATTATTCTTCTTTTAAAAGGTACACATAATTTTATTTTTACTGTTTCATGCCTAACATTTAATTTCTGGCATTATTTGTAATTTAGGAGCACAATTTTTTTTTAAACCTCATCCAAGGATATGTTTTCATTGATTTTAGAGAGAGAGAGAGGAAGGGAGTGTGAAACATCAGTATAGGGGACGATGCTCCAACCAACTGAACCACCCAGCCCAGGTAGGAGCACGATTTCTTAATACCATGTATTATGTTTAACTTGTTGATAAAACTTATAATTTATTTTGATATAAACATGTTAGTGTGTTTAAAATAATAGAGATAATATTATCATAATTTATTCATATAGACCCAAGTTTTTGTCCTCTGCCTTAAATAGCTTTATTAATTTTTATTTAAAATTTGTGTAGGTCTATGTGACTGAGAAATAGAGGGAAATAAAACAACCAGAATATAGAAGATGAAAAAAAAAACCTCTCTTCTCCACAAGGTGGTACTGTGGTTCTTTTACTCTTTCAAAAACTAAGCGTTGAATTTATATTTTCCTACTTGTCTTCCTTCCTCCAGCATTTTACAGGTGATCTTCAATTAGATTCTAATAAAACTGAGAAATAATTTCAAAGGAAACTTGATACTTCTAGGTTTGAGGTAACTGGCAAGCAACTAAAAGTTCTCTATTTAGCCTTCTTTAAGAGTTTTTCTCTCCTTAGCTTTTTGCTTCTTGAAAAGAAATTCTTATACAAACTTTGCCTATACAGTATTTTATTTATACGATATGTACTATGATAATGTATATGTAGTTTTTTGTTATTGTAAAGAAATAACATTATCAGACATCTTTTAAAATGTTTCCATAAGTGAGTATAAATGCAGCTCTTCGTTTTTAGGCAATTCAAGTTTTAGGCAATTAAATTTTCTCTCTCTTCTAACCAACCTCAATAATTAAGAACTTGATTTGAAATAAACCTCAGTTATACAGGTAAAATTTACAGACATGCTTAAAAAAAAACCTTGAGTAGATCTTGTGCTTTTTCTTCTTATACTGCATATTTCAGCTTATTCAAAGATTAAAAATATGTTCATACATGAGTATGGAACATCATATACAAGCTTGTTTTTCTCTGTACGAAACAAGACGAATAATTGCAAGACTGGGTTCTGGTTTCAGCTTCCCGGTTCGGCATGCAGGTCGCTTGAGGACTTTTGTTGAGCCCTTGCATAGATTTCTGGGTCACCGCGGCCTCTGACCTCAGGGCAGCGATGGTGTTAGGGGTCCCGCATTATAGAAATTTAATGGTTGGAACTGGGGGGGGGGGGGGGGCAACGGGACATGTGTCTTGCAGAGTTCTTTCTTGACTGCCCTATTATTTGGGATGGCCCAGGGAGGGGGGCGGATGGAGATTAAGATTTGCTTTGGAGAGCTCAGAGTCCAGGAAGTGGAAACAAATCTTTGTTAAATTTGCTGACTACAATAATGAACCTTGTGGGGGGAAGGGGGGGGGGGGGGAAGTGAAAGAAGAAAAGAAAAAGGATTCCGAGAAATTGGAGAGACAAAATCAAGGGAAAACACAGGACCGAAAGTGGCAGCATAAGCCAGAGAAGAGAGAAGGTAGACCAGAGAAAAGGAAACGGAATCCAACGAAGACGGAGCCGGCATCTTCGGTCTCGCTTACCCGCTGGATAAACACGGATTTTAAGAGGCGGGGTAACTGCTCAAGGTCACCGAGTTTAGTGCCAGAGCCAGGATTCTCGGCTCCACACCCGCGATCCGCCCGGGGAAGAGACGCGCGGGACGGGCGAAGCGAGGACCCGCGTGGGACTGGAGCTCATGCCCCAGGAGATCGCAGGGGAGCCGGCCGGGCGGAGAGCCGTCAGTGCCTCCCCAAGCAAGAGCACTTTTCGGGGCGCGGCCCGGGGGCGTCTTCAGAGCTCCCCTCCCCTGTCTGGGCCGAGGAGTGAGGCGCGAGCTGAAAGGCGAGAGGCGCCACATCTCTCCGCTCCCGGTCATTTTCAGGTTCTTCCTGGGTCGCAGCCGGTTTTCACAGCCACGGCATCTCGGGGTGCCCCCTTCTCGGGGCCGCACCGCCAGGTCCGATCGGACCCAACAATGCCCCCTGAGGGCTGTACCTGATGGGCGCCGATTTAGCCACAGGCTCAGGGCTCAGGCGCCGGGCGGGGACAACGATCCCTGTCAAGGAGACCAGACTCCGACCAGAGGAGACCGGGGGTGTTTACTAACCTCAGGGGAACTTACATGAATGTACACAAATACTTAAGACTAGGGAGGTGTGCACCTCCCAGGAGGTAAAAACAAAGCAATCACCAGGAACAATGCCCCACACAGTCGATATCGCAAATCCATGCAGTTTCATGCTATGAGCATTCTATTCGATGAATAGCTCCTGCCAATCCTTAGTGATTGCTTAATGATCATTAATTGACGAGACACCTTTCACCTGAAAATGGCTTGTCTGCATTGTCTTTCTTCGCAGAGAGCTGCAAATTAAAGTTTCTTTGTTAGGGAGAACAAAGAAGAATCCAAATTATTTTAAGGAGGCTTTAGCGTTTGACTGTTGCTAAAGATCAGCCTTAGCTCTTTGACTCGCCCCCTCTCTGTCACAGCCTCACTGCCGAGTTTTCTTTGCAACTCCCAGCAGGTTTGGGGGCCTCCAGTTTGAGCGATTAGCAATTTAGAGCTGGGAAATGTAGAAGCCTCCTAATTTTTACTTTCAACCCGGAGCCAAAGGAGGCCTGGAGAAGTGCAGGCCATCGTGGAAGTTTGTGCCCAAGCCGGGGACCCTGTAGTGGTGGCCAGACTGCTCCGAAGACCTCCCGCCACGTGGCCCGCATCCTATGCTCATCCTCTTGTGAGCCCAGTGAAAACTCTCTTCCTGAAAGTTTGTCGACAAGGCAATGCCTTCTTCCTTCCATTTAAAAAATTATTTTCTTTTGCTGTCAGATTCCTTCTGACATAGATCAGGGGTGGAAAAGTGTGTGTGGTATAGAAATAGAGTCATTAGTAAATCCATCTCGTTTTTTGTTTCATTTGACAGCAACACATTAAATTAATCCCTGTCCCAAAGAATCACATTAAGGGAGCTGTCAGTGCTAATCCCCGGCTCATTGTTGCTACCTAGCTCCGGGTTGATTTTAATAGGTCGCTCTGACATTTGTTTCTTCAGAGGCACATGGGTGACTTCATCCAGACCCAAATCTATTCTTATTGAAAAGTGGAGGCCGGGCAAGTTTCTATAGACCCTGGATTCTCTGGGCTTCCCGCTTGGAGTTTGGGTTCTTGTTGGAAACGTTGATTCACGTGTATACCTTTAACTGAGTAAACATGCTATAACAATAAAAAGAAAGTAAGGTAGCAACCTCCTTGAGAAAAACAAAAAGCTGATATTTTAAAATTTAAAAATAGGATGATATATCTATTGTTCTTATACTTGTTTTTAGCATCCTGTATTACTACCACTGTTATCTATAAATCTGACTGCGTACAAACCAGATTTAAGATACAATTTATAAAAAATGAAGTGGTTGAGAGAGGAATAGATTACATAAACAAATGAAAAGGGGAGAAGAGGCAAGAATGAAAAAACCTGGAGAAATATAAGAATAAAATATCTATAGAAAAGATGGAAAAATAGGATATTTACTGACAAGGAAGAATAACAATTAAGTAGTAATTTGGACAGAAAGAATTAAGGCAGTACAGAAACTAGGAAAAATATATTTCAGTAAGATTAAACAATTCCTTTAACCAACATTTAGAAACTATGTAATATGAAATGTTTTCTTTAAATGTAATCTCTCTGCCTCTCTCTCCCTTGCCTTCTGTGCCCCACATCCCACCCTGATATATAGATTATCCAGCTTTTGTGTTTATGACATTTAGGGATTCCAGATCTGACAATCATATATTAGCTTTTGTCTGGGTGGATAAGAGAAAGCAGAGGACTGATCCATTCATAAATCATTTAACCTATTCTTAAAATATGCTTCCCTCCTGGTTATTCTTATTTTTATAGGTATTTGGCAAGGTTTTAAAGATGAAATGGGGCTAAAATTTGAGAAATGGGCATCTGTTATTTAACAAACTTATTTTGCATGATTAGTGTACAAATACTACAGATGTGCTATATCTATATACTCAGAAAAGAAGTATGTATATTCTATTTTTATAGCCTGAACCATACTTTATTCAGATTGCAAGGTGATGCTGTAAATCTTTTGATCAAGGGAACACTTGCCTCTGCCTCATTTACCCCTGAAAAATATATTTTTTTTTCACCAAGCATGACACAGTTGTACCTCTTACTTTGAGGATTTTAGTTATTTTACTTTTATTATAATTTCCATTTCCTTTTTCTTTCTTTATCTCCTCAATTATCTCTGGACATAACCATTTTAAAGTTACTTTTATACAATCTCTGTAAAAAACAGTTTCACTGAGCTATCTATTGAAGGCAAATTATTTGATTGAACAACTGGGGTTCATTCTGAGAAAACGGGCTAGGATTTTGGTGGTTCAAACAATAATACTGCAAAGGATCAGTAAGAAAAGAACTATGCATGCATTCAAGAATCTAGACAAATGTCAGGAGTATGAGGAATAAGAACTTAGATTCATATTGCTTCAGTGGACTAAGACCTAGTTGACATTTTAGAAATTGGTAGGTTAGAGTAGACATGAATGGAATGCTAAAACTCCAGGGACTCCAAACTTAACTGTGCCTATACTCAGCACAATGTCTTGTACATAGTAGACGCTTAGTAAATAATCCTTACATCAGTAATGAATACGTGTGTGTAACACATGCAGGATAGAATGAATACAGAGAGGAGACTGAAAAGAGAAGACCAGAGGAGGTGGCAAAGTTGGATATTGCTAGTTGTGGAATTGGGCATAGTTGGTAGTGCCTTGCTGGGTTGCAGTAGTGAAGAGCTGGCTTAGTGGGAATTAAAACATAGGGTAAAGCCAGTCGGCAATAATGCAGTAGACATGTAAGTACTTACCTCTGGAAATGTTTCCATATGCACTGTTCATTGTATTCATGCTCAGATAAGAGCTTTGCCTTCAAGGAGTATGTATTTCAAAGGAAAAAACATATGTGCTCATATTCAGATAATTCACTATGTGTAATGATGTTGTCTAAGGGACTGGCTTTCAGTGATTGAATTTCTGGATCTACCTCATGGTTCTCTTTTGGGCCATCAGAAAGAACTCCCTTTCTTCTTCTCTGCTGGACAGAGGAAGCAGGGAATACCCGAGTTATAAACCATTGGTGGATCCCAAGGCCACTGGTGGAGGCTGGGGTGGGACCTAGGGGCTGTTGATGGTTTGTGTGGTTACAGTGGCAGTGGGGTTATGTACCAAGGGTAACTTTCTGTAGAGTAAACAATTCCCCGCCCCGCGCCCCCCGCCCCCCCCTATATTCTCTCCAGCCTTAGGCCATTTCCCAATAGCTCTTCCCCATTCCACCAATC